AAAACGATACCTTCTCCGTCACTGATCTTTTGGATCTCCCTCTCCCTCAGATATGTAGGGCACCTGTTCGAGTTGGCCGCATGGTCTCCTTCGCAGTTAAAACAGCGAAGTGGGGATGCACAGGGATCCGTATCGTGCGTCGATTTGCCGCACTTTGCGCAAACAGGGCTGACAGCCATGCCCCGCTGTTGGGTATGCCCGAACCTCTGACACTTAAAACAACGCAGGGGGGTTGGCACATACTGCCGCACGTGGGGATTATAAAAACCACAACTAATCCTCTCTAGGAGAGAGAGGAAATTAAACGTCAGGTTCTTCCTTACATAGATTAAGGGTAGGGTGAGTGGTCACTTGCACCTGGAGGCCGGCAATCTTTGTTTTCGAGATTTTTTCGATTTGCTCATCGATGCTTGCTTCGAAGAGAATGATACCATTCCTCTGACGCACCACCGCTTGGAGTTTACCGAAACTGTCCTCAATAGCCCGCGCGTGACGAACCGCACTAGGACTTGTAAATGTTTTTCCTTCTTCCGATCACGCCATCAAAAGGAAACGTGGCTTCTTTGGTTTATCTTCTTCCCTAAGGAAGAGACTACTCAAAGACCCGATTGATCGGGAGTGGGTTAGCTCCCGACCGCCCGTCTAGAAGAGTCCGGGGTCTAAGCAAGTGTGGGAAACCTACAAGGAATGTTCCCCAACATACGTAAACAACGTATCCCTAGTTGCAAGGCAGAAAGTAGCATAGGAAGTAGTTGGGAAACAAACAGGTCCCACAAATACCAGGACACACCTGCCCTCCGACAGGGGTCGCCATGCACGGCAAACACATGGGTGGGTATTTAGCATACAGGAGGACCAGTGTAATAGAAGGATAGAAGAAAAGACATGATGTTATAAAAGAACGAGACTGAACGATGAGGAAGATTAAGATTGGTGAGAGAAAGGAATACTTGAGAGCCCTCCCCTTCAGGACGTGGACCGACCCACCTCGATGGGTGCATCTTCTGAGAACAATCTACTCTTATGGGGTTTACTTCAGAATCTCTTCTTACTCGACCGGCTCTGGCAGAGGATAATTCTGAGGCTCCTTTTCATAAAACAAGCCGCGGTAAACTGGAACATTCGTAAGTCACAGTACGTAATAAATAATGTGGTATTTTGACTGAGTTTCAATTTAAGCCAACCATTATGCTTGTTTTAGGTTCAAAAAATTCTCCGTCATTTTTAGTGTCCTCCTTAATATCTCTTTTACCACATTTGAGAAAAAAGTAGCTTTCATCTTGAATCAGAGGCGATATTTTGGATCTTTTATTGGGAGGGAATGTGAACGCTATTGTAAACATGAAAATATTCGTTTATTTTAATGCATGACGAATGAAAAACCTAGAGTTTAAAATCCAAACTTCTTCCGAGGACTTTACCCCTCCCCTTGCGTCCACTTCTTAAATCTGGTTTTGATGCCTCCATTTTATCAAGAAGTTTATTCAAATCGTAAAACCAAAGAAATTAATGAATCAGTATGCAATAAGATATTGCTTAAAATCAGCTCTCATTACAGAAAGTGAGCACTTCGTAGACTGCAAATAAAGAGAAAGAATGCGCAATGAGTAAACTCCTCTCAAGGCAAAAGACGCATCAGCACAATGTTCTGCGGGTCTCAAACCATTGCCTTTTCCTTCCCAAAGATGGCAAGGGGTTGGGTTTATAATCCGTAAGATGTAAATTGTTTCTTCTCCGTGCTCCCCACCGACCATGGAGTTCAACAAGAGGTCACCCCACTGAAGTACCATGGTTGACAACGAAGGGGATGGAACAAAGCCCAGTATTATTTGGAGGACGCCATTGTTGTGAATTCCATGCTTCAATGTGCTGTTAAAGCACAGCCAATGTAAAAGTTAAATTCCAGGAGCTCGGATAAAAGTAGTTCAACGTAAGGTATCAGAAACGTTTATGTCAAATGCAGATTAAGCAAAATCTCTATGTGATCATTTTCTAAATTAAGACAAGGATAGGATACAATATAAAATATTGTCTGCCGCCACCTCTTGAGTGCGTCCTCTCTTCATGCATTGGAGAATCTCTTTTCATTACGCCTAAACAGCAACCATCAGCTTACAGTAGAAAACCAAAACGATTTAAAATTCATCGTTTTGTCAGTGGCAAGACGTCCGACGATTGATAGCTGCAGCTCTATCCAAGTGAAGTAGCGAGCAGTGCACCAATAGCACAGGCTTTCTCGCATTATTTCGAAATTAGCAATTTTCAAAAAGTCAAGAGTTTAACAAATATGGGTTCTGCGCCATTCTTTTAATCATTCCTTATTCTAAATGGGGGGGGTGAAGGGCGGTTTTTGAGCAATACTCTTATAATTTGCGTTAACTTAATCAGAAATTTCACGAAAACTACAGTTTAAAAAAATATAATCTTATTTAAAGATCTGATTTTTTAGTACACATTTCATTTACGACAAGAATCTTTGGCTTCAATATTATACTTTTGCAATGTTAAGTTTTTGCAATTTACAAAAATAGAGTTCGCCGAAAAAAGGACTAGCACCATTTTTATACCATCCTATTATGAGAACATTTAAAGAAAAAAGTTTAATTGATTAACACAACACTTTCATTATGATAAGATTAGAAAATTTACGTGACTGGCAAAAGGATGTAGATCCTTAATAATTGCAGAATCATTAAGAATAGCTGGAAGTATGTAAGTAGTAAAGAATCTAACCTGCTAATCAGATTATGGGCTAGATGGAAAAAGTGACAAAGAAAGTACCAAAAAGGAATGATGAGTTTTTTAAAATTATTTTTTAGAAATGAAAACATAAAACAGTTGTTTCAAAACATAATTAAAAATTAATACATCAGAATATTGCCACAAGTGACATTGTAGAAAAAGAATAGCAGACCACACAAAAACTATTTTGAGACAGGCTGAAGCAGGAAATACTAGGATTAAAAAAAATATTTAGAAAAAAGAAAGAACAACATATATGGTCTGAAGAAATACAGAACGTAGATTTCAAAAACAATATAGAACATACCTTGGAACTTCAAGAGGGTTAGAAATATGCATCAAGATTCATAGGATAGGTTTATAGGAAAAAATGAACATAACAAATATGATAGGCAGTCTAGCATATTTTGAAGTGACGAGGAGAAGAACATCAGTATTGGTGCAAAAAAAAAAAGTAATTAGGTAGAAAATTCCAAAATGTTTTGGAATGAAGGCAATATTGAAAAACTACTACGAAAGAAAATCCTGCAGAAACAGACCTCCCAAGTGTAGAAGAAGCCCTAAACAATATGAAAAATCGGAAAGCATTCAGACTGAATAATGCAAACACTGAACATTTGAAATATGCTAGAATTGTATTCCAATTGTGCTTTTAATATTTTTATATGTGTTGGAAAAAACATGATGTTCTAAAAGAATGGCTTGAAGCAAAAACAATATATCTTTATAAACATGAAAACCATAATTTCCAAGGAATAAGCTTTTTACATATATAGTATAAATTGCCTGCTAGATGTGTTAAACAATAGTTGAAAGCACAGCACGGTCACTTGTATCTGAAGAGGAAGTTAGTATTAGAAAAGGGTAAACTTGAACAATGTCCTATTCACAATAAAAAGAAAAATTGAAAAAAGAACAGAGCTTAACTGCAAACCACAGATGGCATTCATATATAGAGAGAAAGCTTTCAATAATGTTGATAAAAAAATGTATATCCAAAACACATAACAGAATTCTTAAAAAATGTGGACATCCAAATCACATAACAAGATCTATTAAATGCTTATATACTAGAACTACAGTGTTCTTAGATGTAAATGGTAAGTTAACAAAGGAAATTTCCACAAATAAAAGGGCAAGTCAAGACTGCTGCCTCTTGGCTAACAATTTGTAATGTTTATGTTCACATATTCAGAGCCTGAAAGTTATATGGAGATGAAGAGAAAAACATGTATTTTTACGTCTTTATGTTATGTTGATGACAAAGTTATTTTTGCCTAATCCTTGTTGGTAGAAAAGAAGAATCGAGTTCATTTATTTTATCCACGGAAATTGATAATATCAAAAGCGAAGCTTCTCTCCAGAACTATAATAAATTCATAACCCCAAATTTTAAGGTATAATATCTTTAAAAATAAACACTGCTAGGCGGTGGTTATTTAACAAACAACAACAGTGATGTCAATTTACAAAGTTGCTCCATTCTCTTTTAACTTAAGTTTTTACTTTGATTATTGAATAAATTGACAATTTGTAGGTTGGATTTTAAGTTAAAATGAACTAACTGTTGCAAAAATTAAATTTAATGATAACTATTTTTATACTGAACTCACTGACTCATTGAGAAATTTCACATACATTGTGGGTCTCTATTTTTTTTTTAATTTATTAAAAATGGTGTCTTGATTTTTTTTTTCTTTTTCTTTTCAACATTCAAATTCTATAATTGTAATGATCAATAGGAGTTCATAAAGCTTAAATAAGACTACCTTTCCTTTTCCAGAAGAAATTGTTTATGATCTACGCTGTTTACGAAGTTAAGAACCTTGTCAAATTTGCATACCTGTTAAAAAAGTAGGTGAGTAACAAATACTGTGTTAGTAAATATGACTGTAAGGAGGTCATACAATTTAACTTAATTTATAACAATTGTCTTTTATTTTTAAACAAAAGATATTGCTATAATCATATCTTATTCATAGAGTTTTTATGCTTTCGAGATTTTCACAACATTCAAACATGTAAATGTAACAAACAGATCAAGTTTGTTTTAATTGCTGACATGTCTTAGCATCTTGCATTTTTTCAATAAGATTACTGTTCCACCAGCAAAGACCTTAATGGCAGAATTATTAATTGCCATTATTAATTTTTGATAACACTTATTCCGTTTAGTGGTTCTAGTGAGAATTTCATATGAAATACAATAATAGTGCAATTCGAAATTCAGGCAAAGAACAGTAGGGTTGTGAAAACACGTGAGTGGCTTTGAAATGTAGTAAGGGAGTTGAGATAATGATCCAAGTGGCCCTGGTTCTGTTCACCATTGTGAGCCCCTGTAACTTTTTGAAAATAATTCAGTCATTTCTAAATGTAACTTGAGGATAATTATCATAACCATCTGGAATACACATTCCAAACAAACAGTGAAATCTTCTAAGTAGTTTTTGAATCTTTAGCGGTCCACCAAACAGTCATGAATGAGAACTTTCGAGAACATTTATTATTATATTATTAATTATTATTATATTAGAGAACATTTAGCTTGAAAAAGAGAATGTGATGAAGACAGCTACTTAATTTTGTTCTTCCTTGTACATGTATTGTACGTTGGAGAAAGTTATGTAATGCTACAAAAAACTGATTTTAAGATTTCAATGTAAATACACATTTTAGGGTTCCATGATATAGAAAAAACGTTTGTTTTCTTTCAAAAGTCCTCCGTCTGTAAACACTAGCACCTAAACTTCATAGGATTTCCCCCCAAAAATGAATATTCCGTGGTCGATCTGGCCTGACTCTAACCTCTATGAATTAGAAAAACATCCTTAAATTTTGGGGGTACATTATAGGTAGCCCTCGGGACATTTTCAAAATTTTCTTAAAGATGGCTCCAATTTTTTTCTTTTAATTTCTTGTGCGAATAGAGTTAAACTTATAAAGATGACATAGGTTTGATTTTCATTGTTAACTCTGAACTTTTGAAAATTCCAAAAAGGTTGAAATTTTTTTGGCATCTTCCAACAATAACAATATTGAAGGTAGCGAATTTTTCTTTTAAGAGGTTTGTTTTCCACAATCAGTTTTTTAAGTACCGTCATGTACATTTTTTTGAAAATTTAGGTGCTGTTTTAAAAAACGTTGTCAATGAAATGTGGGACATATTTTAAAAAATATTAAAAGATTTTCTCAAGAATTGCCCCATATTTCTTTTTAAACATCTTGTACTAAATGCACTATATAAGATAACAAAGAACAGCTTCCTTTTGCTTTATCAAAAATTACTCAAATGTAATATTTATGACATTACCAGTGATTTGTAGTATACATTATTGCATATGCTTCAGGGCTTTGCAGTGCTTCAAATAGTGTCTTTATGTTTCTCAAAAAATCAAGTATTCTCTAAAACTTCCACTTTTTCAAAAATACTTAAATGATATTTTCATAAAAAGAAGCTTCAAATTTTTCAATAAAATTGTGCATATAGGACCTTCTTTAATAAGTTTAAGTTACATGACAATTCTAGTATTAAGTATATGAAAAATTGAAGAAACGTGAAAAAATGTGTTTTAAGCACCAATAGATGGTAGTTGAGAAGATGATGGGGGCAAAACTGAATAGATAGCTCAAGTACAATAAAGTCAGTGGCAATCTGTAACACCACAAGTTAATACACGTGTTTGCATTACATTGCATATGCTTTTTCTGTAAATTCTGTTTGCAAAGAAATTAATATTAAAAGGAATATTGGTATAGAAATAGTTACACTGACAAACCTATAGATTAAGCTGATGCAAAGTGGCAGTAACAAAATAAATATTCCACAATTCAAAAATACAAAAATAAACTTCAATAAGTTCGATTTTAATTATTTATTTTCCAAGAAATATTATTTTAAAAACATTGATGAGTTTATAAAACTTTTCCCAATTAGAAACCCTAGAGGATGACTGTTTTAGGAAAACATATTTCTGAAATAATATTTATATTTATGGAAGTAAAACATATACAAAGATAGAAACAGACTCTAAACTAAATCTTATTATATTTCTGTTTCAACATTTTATTTTTGAAAATAAAAATGTAATTCTATATATAGATGGGTGAAAACCAGAATGGTAGACGTGACATTTTATAAATTCTGAGAAATCTGTTTATTGAAGACAATAACATTGTAAAGTTGTGGTGTTTTGTTTTATTATTAAAATCATGGCATTTCAATTGTTCATTAAAATCATGAAAAAGACATTGCCTGTAAAATATACCCTAAAATAAACACTTTTTTTCCAAAATGTATAACATGTCACTTATGCTGTTCTGGTTTTTACCCATTCATATTACCAGAATTTATCAGAAAAGTAAAATGAATAATAATAAAGAAAATTCTATCAAAAAGGTCCAATTATGAAGGGGATATTTTACTCATAATATGTCCTGGAATAAACAGAACATTTGATTATCATTAGATTGGGAAAAATTATGACAAAATGCCTTTCAGTGATTTTGGTAATCAATCCACTCAAGATTTCATATTTAAAATAAATTAGTGTATTACTAGTGTGTCTGTTACACATATGCAAGAAAACAAAATACTAAAATACATCTTGGTTAAAAATTAGTCCATGTTCTCTCACACAAATGGAACACAACATGCTCAAAACAAAGAACAATGAACAGAACTTACGTATTCCATTCTTTGCTGACGCTACAAGCAACCAACAGAGACTGAGCATCTATAAAATGGCAAATGTGTTCTTGAATTTCTGTAGGGAGAGAAATAAATATGTCCCGCCTCAAATACTTTGACAGTAACTCCATTAAACAATATCGTTCTTCAGGGGTGGTGTTATCCAAAAGTACATTCAACACTGTCATTTTGTTTTCCAATGACATATCCTTGAACAGATTTGTAACACTCGTCAACCACACATCACGTTCATCCCAAACGTCTGAAACAAATCCGAACAACTTGTAAGAAAATGATAAAAAGTGATCTTATTCGATTGATAACAAATAAGTTCTCAATTTACTTTATTACGTACCTAAAGAATTGCAATTATTGGAAGCATCCATTATTTAAGAAATAAAAATAAACTCGAGAAATTGCCGCAAACAAATTATTTTAGGTATTGTCCACAAGTTTTTCAAATCATGGCAAGGGTTTTCGCGGGATGTTCTTTCTCCCAAACGCCATACAAAATGCAGCTTGACGCAGGATATGCCGGCTTTTGTCACTAAGCAAGTACCAATCTACAAAATCGGAAATTGTTTTCTCCATCGGGGAGTTTTTGCAAGGCATAGCGTACAATCGACTGCTATCTCGATCTTCTTCGCATGCGCAGATGCCCAAAAGCAAAGCGAAACTCGATCTGCATACAAGCATATAAGCATACAGGCATGTAATACATGCTAGGGAGTTTGTGCACCCTCGAACGTTAAAGCACGATCATCTGGGCAGGCGCAGTTTCGCATCAGGGATTAGGGAGTTTGTGCTCGCCATAGCGGCAGCAATATCGATCTTCTGCGCATGCTGATGCACCCATCTCGATTAGGTTTTTGTCCAGTTTTCCTCATCCATTGAGCAAATGCTGAGATGGCCCCTTGCTCTGCTTCTGGACGTAAAAGTATCTTCACTGTGCGCACGGTTTGTCGAACTCTCCTTTTGCTTGTAATGGTAGGAGAAGAGGTAAGGGGTAATGATGTATCTTTACAAGAGTAAAAATATATTTTTGAAATGAGGTTTGAGCAATATTCAATTCTAAGGTAAACAACGGCTATCATTGGCCACTCTAGCAATTCAAGCAGCCTCTCCTCGAAGTTTCCCCCCTTTCTACTTCCATTAATGGTCATCAAAGGCGGAGTCTGAATAATGTTGCACAAATCCTTTAATACTCACCACCCCCACCCCACCCCCAGAGAATGCATCGCTACATCCTCTTGGGGGGACAAGTTCTTGAAGTATAAAATCGTGCAATAGATTGTGACAAATAATTTAAATTCATCGCATTAGCAAACAGTATTTTGTACTATATATTGTAATGTTAATAACGAAAAAAATATTTCTAAGTGGAGGTTTTCCGTCCAGAATTACTGTCAAAAAACCAGTAAATATTTAGCATTTTAGTAACAATTATACTAACTTTTAGCAATCAATCAGCAACACCGTCTAACTTCTCCTTCTTCTTCTTCTTCTTCTTCTTCTTCTTCTTCTTCTTCTTCTTCTTCTTCGGTTTTTGCAGGGGTGTTTAGAGTTCTATTGAAGTTGATTCAATACTTTACTGACTCGCAATTTCGAAATGATTTGATGCCTTATTTTACGAGACGAGACTCACTCCACGAGACCTGCTCTTCCATCTGACCACGCAAATTTCCCTACCCTATAGAGTATTTTCCACAACATTGTTGTACAAAGTTTAGGCTAAAAGTACAAGCTACCGAATACTAAAAACATTCTAGATAATTTGCCGTCTACACTATGTGACGATCCACAAAATCAATTCACCCCTGTTTCTTTTCAGCAAATTTTCTTCACGCTTGACAGAAAAACGATCACTCAAATTTAGTTTTTCAAAAAAGAAGCCAACTAAAAACGTTTACATAATTCATTTGAGGTTTCATTAATTCGAAATGGATTAAATTGCAACTCATTCAAAATATAAGAGAATGTGCTTATAATATTAAATTAACACAATTCCTATGAATGCGACACTGCACAGCAATGCGTTCGCGTTTCACGCACTAACGAAGAACTATTTTATTGAAAGGAATGAGAGCTCTTTACAGTAAAGAGATATCTGACACTTCTTTCGTTCAATGTAACACGTACATATCTTACAAACTTTTGCTTGCTGAGCGTTAAATCTCCGAGACCTGTCAAGACACACGCTGAGATCGCCAGTTCGCAGACGCAGTGGCGATCTCACGCTCTGCCGTTTGCTCCTTCCTTCCATAAAGCCACTGTTGTTCCGTCTTTCCCCTCCGGCTCCCCGGCAGCCTACGACGCGTTCTACTCGTTTGCAATTCCAAGTGTGCGCCGGCTAGCTTTCACGAAGGGCTCTGGAGGCGGACGTCAATCGCTGCTTCCGAACAGCGCGTGTTTTGAAATCCCGCGTTTCGGAAACGCTTGGATAGTACTTGTGTTCCCCTCATGTTTAGAGATATTTAATAGAAAATGCACCGAATTAATTTGCACATGCACATGCGAACGTGCGAATAGGCACAATCCGCCGCAACTTCATATGCTTGATGCCGAGGGCAGAGGTGATACCCAGCCTCAGTTGCGTGTGGAGGCGATAAATGGTGCAAAGGACTTGTCTTTACGATTTCTTAAAAAAACAGCAACCACATGTAACGTTTATTAGTAGTTTCGTGGGATCATTGCAACAATACTTCTGTCTCACAGCATCTATGAAAGTTTTTTAAAGGTTCAATCTTTCCTTTTTATTCTAAACGGCCATTAAAACTGCGGTTTCAATATTTAAATACGTTTAAGTGATATTAGTATAAAAACACATTGGTAAATCTTATAAAACTAATCTAGTAAATTTAATAACGCTGAGAGAAGCAGTTTTAAGGCGACTATGAACAGAAAATATATTGTATATTTTTATCTTCTCTACTCAATAGTACGACATGCATTACAATATATAGATCGGAGGTAATATAAATTAAAAGTTTTTGCTACGATAGAAAAAAGAAATTCAAAAATTGTTTTGGAAAAAATCCATCTACATGTAGATAAGGTAAAAGATAACGGTTGGGGCTCGTTTAATGACGCAAATGCTGCACGATGTGCCTTCTCAGAGCCCGCAGTTTTGTCGGGAATTACGATTCTGCCACTTGGATGCCTGAGAGAAGAACCTTCAGAATCCAGAAATAGATCATACAGAAAGGACAGAAACTCACGTAAGGAAAGATCAGAATCCACAACTTAACAGATATTTTCAATAGGGCTTTGGAAACATCCGATCCCATCATTTCGACTGTCAGCCTCCAGAAAAAAAGAGTTCAAAATAATAAGAAAAAGGAATTTCCGCTTGAAGCAATTGAAATACTAATTTCCTCTGCCCCAGAATAAAGTTCACATCAAGCAATTGAAGAAATATCCGATCTTGTTGAAGTATATGATGAGAGTGCTATGGAATCGATACTTTCTAGTGATTACAGTGAACATTACTTAATATTAGTAATATGAATGATATCTTTATTTCACAATAATATGAAATTTTGTTAAATGAAAATAGGGATGAATAACTTCATATACAAAGTTTTCAGCTGATTTTTAATTTCTGTCTTCCCACCTCACGATTGTACGTATACGTGCGCCGCCATTTTGAAATTTTGTAACAAGTAATATGATAAATTTTTTACCTTCTTATGTCTGTATGTGTACCAAATTTCATCTGACTTGCTCAAATGACCGAGTTGTGACTTTTGGCGAAGGACAACGCACTTTCATACCATAGTGCGAAAAAGCGAAATGATTTTACAATTTCTTCGAGAAAAAAACAACAACAACCAGCTGTAACTTTTATTGGTAGTTTTGTGAGAACATTGCAGCAACAATTTCTGTCATATGGCAACTGTGGCAGTTTTTTAAAGATTAAAGCATTCTTTTTTATTCTAAACAGCCATTAAAACTACCGTTTCAATATTTTAATTCGCTTAAGTGTTATTAGTATATAAACAATTTACCTGGTAAATTTAATAACGCCGAGAGAAGCAGTTTTACGGCGAATAATATGAACAGGAGCTATATATATATATATATATATATATATA